CTAGTGACAAAGGGTAAAAACTGGAGCGCCTGGGTGACTCAAATCAGTTAAGCGTCTGACTTTGGCTCAGGTCAAGATCTCACAGTTCTTGAGTTTGAGCTTTGAGTTCGGCTTGCTGCTGTCAGAGTGGAGCCCTCTTTGGATCCTCTTTCCCAGTCTCTCCGCTCCTCCCCTGCTCATGCTCTCTCTCTCAAAAATAAACAAATATTTTTTAAGTTAAAAATAAAGGGAGAGAGTTAAAAAATATATCAGGCAATACTAATGAAAGAAAGAGTGGATAGCTGTATTAATATTGGACAAAACAGAAACCAACAGAAATAGCTGACGTTAGATCAAGAGAGGGGTAACTCCAAAGACTAGTTGAATGTCAAGGATAATGATAAGTTAGTATTCTTCTAACATTCAACACAAACAAAGAGACGAGGAACTTAATGTTCTGGAATGTTGTCACTGTTCTGGGAAAACATGATCCGTGATACCTGGGCAGGGAAGTGTCACCTCAGCTTTAGTCAGACGTTTAATAGGCTGTGACCAGTTTTCAGTCACTACACTTCTATTTATTTTAAAAAATTTAATGTTTATTTATTTTTCAGAAAGAGACAGAGTACAAGCAGGGGAGGGGCAGAGACAGAGGGAGACACTGAATCTGAAGCAGGCTCCAGGCTTTGAGCTGTCAGCACAGAGCCCAATGCGGGGCTCCAACTCACGAGTTGTGAGACCATGACCTGAGCCAAAGTCGGATGCCCAACCAACTGGGCCACCCAGGTGCCCCTAGTTCCTACACTTTTTTTTTTTTTTTTTATTTCTAGGAGAGAGAGAGAGACAGCGTGAGCAGGGGAGGGTCAGAGAGAGAGGGAGTCACAGACTGAAACAGGCTCCAGGCTCTGAGCTGGCAGTCAGCACAGAGCCCGACGCGGGGCCCGAACCCACGAACCGCGAGATCATGACCTAAGCGAAAGTCGGACGCTTAACCGACTAAGCCACTCAGGCGCCCCTAGTTCCTACACTTTTAAAAGTTTATGGAGATATTGCAAAAAATGCAAAATATAATGACCATCAAAAACTGAGACAGTGAGGGGCACCTGGGTGGCTCAGTTGGTTTTATGTATGACTCTTGATTTTGGATCAGGTCATGATCTCATGGTTGGTGAGATGAGCCCCAAGTTAGGCCTCACTCTGACAGCTCAGAGTCTGCTTGGGATTCTCTCTCTCACTCCCTCTCCCTCTGGCCCCCTCCACTCTCCCTCTTGTTCTCTCTCGCTCTCTAAGTAAATGAATAAACTTAAAAAAAAAAGAGAGTGAAAAATAGGTGCTATAAGATTGACTTGATTCACCAGTGACCCTAAGAGAAGTTTGGGTTGGCTGGTGGGGGCAAAAACATAGAGGGAGTTCAAGAGAGATTCGGGTCAAAAAAACTATTAAGAAAAATTCATTTGTAAGACACTTAGCTAACCCTGGCCACTGACTGGAGATTTGTTAAGAAAATTTTAAGGCATGATAGTATAGTTATAGTTATACATATTCAAGTTTTTTTTTAAAGTTTATTTATTTTGAGAGAGAGAGAGAGCAAGCACAAGCGGGGAGGGACAGAGAGGAGAGACAGAATCCCAATCTGCGCTGATGGCACAGAGCCCGATGTGGGGCTCTAACTCTTGAACTGCAAGACCATGAACTGAGCTGAGACCCAGTGTCAGACTTGGTCAACCGACTGAGCCTCCCAGTGCCTCTCTCTCTCACTGTCTCTCTCTCCATATATATATAGTTTTAAAAGAGTCCATATCTCTTGAGTATTTATGGATGAGGGGTGCCTGGGTGGCTTAGTCGGTTAAGCGTCCGACTTTCGCTTAGGTCATGATCTCGCGGTTCTTGGGTTCGAGCCCCGCGTCGGGCTCTGTGCTGACTGCCAGCTCAGAGCCTGGAGCCTGTTTCAGTCTGTGACTCCCTCTCTCTCTGACCCTCCCCTGCTCATGCTGTCTCTCTCTCTCTCTCCTAGAAATAAAACATTTAAAAAAAAAAAAGAGTATTTATGGATGAAAAGATATGATGTCTGGGATTTATTTTAACCTAATCCTTTGGAGGTGAAGAAGGTGGTGATGAATGTAATAGATGATGATAGTAATAGATTGGCCTTATTTCTGTTGATAATTATTGAAAGCTGGACCATGCATACGTGGTGGTTTGCTACTCTACTTTGGGTTGGATATTTCCTTAAGTGAGTTAACTGGAAACTGATGCTGTATGATGGACTTCTAAAAAATACTTTTTTTATTTTTATTTTTTTAATGTTTTATTTTTTTTTTTGAGAGAGTGAGACAGCGTGAGCAGGGGAGGGTCAGAGAGAGAGGGAGTCACAGAATCCGAAGCCTGCGTGGCTTAGTCGGTTAAGCGTCCAACTTCGGCTCAGGTCATGATCTCACGGTTTGTGGGTTCGAGCCCCGCGTCGGGCTCTGTGCTGACTGCCAGCTCAGAGCCTGGAGCCTGTTTCAGAGTCTGTGACTCCCTCTCTCAGAAATAAATAAATAAAACATTAAAAAAAGAATAAAAAGTAGTTTTTCAAATGATATTGACCTTTTTGTGTCTAAAAACTAAAGAGGAGCACCTGCCTAGCTCAGTTAGCTTGCGACTCTACTCTTGATCTCAGGGTTTTAAGTTCAAGCTCCACGTTAGGTGTAGATTACTTCAAAATAAAATGTTTAAGAAAAGAGAAAGAAAATGGGGCGCCTGGGTGGCTTAGTCGGTTAAGTGTCCGACTTTCTCTTAGGTCATGATCTCGCGGTTCGTGGGCTCGAGCCCCGCGTCGGGCTCTGTGCTGACTGCCAGCTCAGAGCCTGGAGCCTGTTTCCGAGTCTGTGTCTCCCTCTCTCTCTGACCCTCCCCTGTTCACGCTGTCTCTCTCTCTCTCCTAGAAATAAATAAAAAAAAAAAAAAGAAAAGAGAAAGAAAAACTAAAGAGTACACAGTTTAATCTGGAATCTATGGCAAGAAGGGATGAGACCCCCACTCTGGTGAATGACTTTCAGAATAGCTGAGACTGACATGCTTAAAAGAAAAACGTTAAACTAGGCTTTCCAGCGTTAGTACCTTATGGTCTCATTTGGTTTCCTGAACTTTTAGGTACAGTTTTATGCAGAAGTAGCAGCTGCTGCTCACCACTAGAGGGGCCCTCTGACCATAAAAGGGTGTCTACACTCAGCACGAATAATTGAAGTGAACAGGTTACGGGCGGCAGACAGACCACTTATCCCTGAAACATGTTCAGATTCTGCTCCTATTGGGGAAGAAGTTTCTCCTTATCCAATCTAAAGGAAGGCTGAGCCTATGGCTTAAATTCAAAACTTTGAGCATCTCAAGTTCCTTTACTCCCAATTACTTGTTCGATCATTGTTTTCGTTTTTATCACCACCTCACCCCAAAATTATAATTAGAAGCAGTCTAATCAGTCTGCTTCTCCTACCCACTTGGACAGAACTTTGTCAACAGATTAGTCTTGGAATTATTTTGATCATGTTCTACTTAGAGGCAAAAAACCCTACAGTTCCTCACTGCCTACAGTAATTTAAAATAAAGAATTCTGGGAGCACCTGGGTGGCTCAGTCAGTTAAGCGTCCGACTTTGGCTCAGGTCATGATCTCACGGTTCGTGGGTTCGAGCCCTACGATGGGCTCTGTGCTGACAGCTAGCTCAGAGCCTGGAGCTGGCTTCAGCTTCTGTGTCTCCCTCTCTCTCTGACCCTCCTCTGTTCACTCTCTCTCAGAAATAAATTTTTAAAAACATTTGAAAAAATTGAAAAAATAAATAAAATAAAGAATTCCAGGGCACCTGGGTGGCTCAGTCGGTTAACCATTTGACTTTGGCTCAGGTCATGATCTTGCGGTGAGTTCGAGCCCCGCATTGGGCTCTGTTGACAGCTCAGCCTGGAGCCTGCTTTGGACTCTTGTGTCTCCCTCTCTCTCTGCCCCTTCCCCCCACACCCCCCGATTACATTCGCTCTCTCTCAAAAATAAACACTAAAAAATGAAAAGCAAAAGAAAAATAAAGAAATTCCTCAGTCTAGCAGTCAGGGTTTCCTGTGCAGCCTCCACTTACACCTACTCCAAGATTCCCACTCAAGTCTCCTCCACCATTGCTTCCACTGCGGGCTCTTGTTCTCAGTTTTGGCGAGATACCACTAGGTTCGGGAGCTCAAGTACAACTTTTTCCAATACTTCTAGTCCACAGTGACCTCTAGTTTTCTTATCTATTCCATACCATTCTCCAGACAACAGAAATCCTTAACTGCAATCCCATCTAACATGCTGCTTCTGTGTACACACACGTATGTATTTGCACCCCTCCTGAACACCATAAACTCTTGAAGGTCAATTACTTCTTTGGACCTCCAACTGCCCAATGCATTGCTCGTTACCTGCTGCTTAAATATTTGTAGAATGATCTTAACAAGATAAGGAACAGTGCTGTGGAAAGAACAGTATTAACTTGCTTCTCTCCAAAGCCCCCCACGTACAAGCCTTAGAACGAGCACCCCCTTTCTGGTCTAGTTCTCCATCACAGTAAAAAAGCCTGAGCTCAACCTCATAGAAGAAGAAATCAGAACTGAGGGAAGCTTTCTCTTTGTTCTTCCAAGTAACACCTTAGGGCCAGGCTGGGGGAAGGAAAGAGAGGGAATCTCAAGACCAACTTATCTCAAGCTTGCTTTGTCCCTTTCCTTTCCTCCTAAACTCGAGTTAAACCCGTCAGTTAAAACGGGTAGCCTAGGAGCCTGGAAGGCAACAGACCTCCAGGAACTCCCTTCGTATTCATTCACAGCTTTTCCCTGTCAAATTGAAGTTGTTACGGTGGAGGGGTGGCTGGAAGGTAAGGAATGGAGCCAGCACCAGCCTGCACCAGCCTCCAGGAAACTGGGGAAGACACAGTATTTGCTCAAAGAAGTGCAAACGTGGAGGCTGAGCAGGAGGGTGGACTGTATGGTGTATGACAAAGAATCAGGGAGAAACAAGAGGTCTAAATAACTGATGAAAGTTTAATACATTAAAACAGATATTTATCACTTTTATATTGCATTTGCCATTTCCGAACAATACAAAGTAGAGGCAAATAATGACACTTCATAAAAATGTTGATTCCCCAGAACTCCCTTCCCTAAGACCCAGCCTCCCTCAAATATTCCCTCCCACCCCCTACAGAACTCTGTCCTGAATAAAACACTTAAATACATCATAAATAGTAAATTATGAAAAAAAAATAGCAAGAATTGTTTCTTTCCTTCTTGTAAAAAAGAACATGGCAGCAAAGACAGGCAGCCAGAAGCTGGCTGGGGGTGTCTAATATAGACAGTTACTTGGGGGACGGGCAGGACGGAGACGGGGGAGAGCGCTCCACAATCCGCCTGAGGTGCCAGGCCCCCTCTTCCCCTGGCAGGAGCAGGAGGACTGGATGGGGAACCACAACTCTCGGAGACGGAACAGAGGGATTACGTGGCCCCCACTTCCGTGTTCTCTGTATGAGAAGGGGCAGGGCACGTGGCACAATGACCTCACCTAGGCCAGAATCTGCTGGCTCCCCCGTGAGCCTAAGAGAATATTCTCTAGCCTCAGAGATAGACTGCCTGTTAAATGGACACAGATCCCCTTTCCACTTCAACTGCATGAATAGCAGAACTCTGTTGGAAAAGGTGGGAAGGGCAAGGAAGAAACCTCCTTTCGAGAAGGATCCAAATTTGTTTAAGTCTTCATATTTAGGAAAACAAGCAGAATACATTTCAAACTGCCAAACCATAATAATTGTGATGGCCCGGCAGTGAGTAGGGTTCCACCTAGGAAGGGCTCTGATCTTCTAGCCCTGTGACTGTCCTGTTTCAACAAAAGGGATAAAGATTACCCCACGTCCCACTCTCTCCATTCCTTCAGTCTTAAGAAATTCATCAAGAGAGGAGGAGCTAAAGAGGAGCTGCTCTTGGCAAAGCAGTGCCACACTTCCATTTCTCAGACACCAGGGGGCTCTTCTGAGGGAACCCCATGAATAGGCATCTCTCCAATGCTTCTGGAGTTCTGATCTGAACTGGCTTGAAATTGTGTGCTGTGTGCTAGTTTTCCTTTCCTTTTTTAAGGAATAAAAAAAAAGAAGAAGAAGAAAGTAGGGGTTGATTTAACACCATCACGCCCCCAAAACCTTTACAAAGATTACAAGGGTCTTCTTCCAGAGGAAGAGCTAAGGTGGAGACAATGTGCCAGCCAGTCTGTCCTGAGGAAATTAAGAGTCCAGCTCCTGGTGAAGGGTAGATGAAGAGGAAGAAAACCATCAAGTACAGCAACCCCGCTTCCAGAAGGAAGAATTGGGGGCTTGAAAACAATTCAATTGTGGAAGCCAAGGTCGGCCAGTTGAAAACTCGTGCCACTCAACTCGGAAGTGGGGAGGATGCTGCTGTCCTCAACCGTGTGAGGCACTAACGCCCATTCATATGGAAGGGGAGGGAGAAGAGGATCTTCTTCGGGAAAAAGACAGAGGCCCCCAGCCTCCAGTACGCTCCTTCTGTGACGACCATGAGGAAGTTACACTCAGCACTGCTGGGGCAAGGGCTGGCGTCTTGGGATCACCAAGTTGGCAGAATCTTGTTCTAGGTCTTCTGAGGCCTTTTGCTCACTGGAAAGGGAAAGGGTATAAAATTAAGGCTGTGGAGTATGAGATGAGGAGGCAGGAATGGAATTCAAGTTAATCTCAACCTGACTGAAAGAGTTAAGTCTTCTATTATCAGTCTTGGCTTGCAAGCATAAGGTTGCCAAACCACAGCATTTAAAAAGGCAAGATTTAGGGGGCACCCAGTCCCTGTAACCTTGCCAATCAACTCCTTGTTCACTCCATCAGTGACCATCTTTATACCCTTCAAAGCATTCACCTCCCCCACATCCCAGACACTCACGTGGGCGAGCTCTGACTCTGCAACTTCAGGCTCTTCCAAGAGGGTTGAACTAACAAGGGGAAAAAAATGTAGGCAGAGAGAAGTATTAGAAGATACAAAAAAAAAAAAAAAGGACCCTCCTCTCAAGTCAGATCTTATACTGCTTCTCTGTATTTCAATTCAGGATCAATTCAGAATTTGGAAAGAAAAGACCAAGAAACTACCAGATTTAGAAGCATGCTGTTTTAATTAACTATCTTCTTGAGTACTACAAAATATTTCCTAATACCCTCCCCTCCGTCCTCAATCCCCAGGTGTGGCGGTCACTCAGTGATTGCTGCTGCCTGATACTCATGCCGTTGTGCAATTCTCTTCTGAGTGCAGGCTGGATTTAGTGCTTCTCGTCTAGTGGACAGAATGATGGAACATCAATTCTGAGATCAGGTTACCAAATACCCTACAAATACCCTACCTAGCTTCCTCTTCCACCTGTGCTCTCTGTTTGCTCTGAGAGAAGCTGGCTGTCACATGGAGAGAAGGATGTGACAAGGAACTAAGGGAGTACCACTGGCTAACAGCCTGCAAGGAACTGAACCTTACCAACCACCACGTAAGTGAGCTTGCAATTTGATCCTCCCTCAGGCGAGCCTCCAGATGAGGCTACTTCCCTTACAAACAGCTTCAATGTGACCTCCTGAGATCTTGAGCCAAAGGCACCATCTAAGTCACACTGAAGTAGTTAAGCCACGAAAATCTGAGATAATAAATGTCGGTGTTTCCAGCTGCTGAATTGGAGGTAATTTATTACACAACGATAATACAGTTTTGTACCTGGAAGTGAAGTGCTGCCAAACTAAAAATCCAAAAAGTGGAAACGGCTTTGGAAGAGGGAAGTTGGGCTTTAAGGAGAGTTTTAGTGAAAGTTTAAAAGTGCCATGAATATACTGCAGAATCTTAGACCTGAATGGGTGAGTTGCCAGTGTGGGCTGAAAGGAGGGTGAGAAAGATCTTATTGGAAAGTGAAGGAATTTAGTGGAACAAAGTTTAACAATAATATACAGTTATGTGAAAAGTAGAATATGTACCTAATGAATTGGGTGATCTGGCAAAGAATTCTAAGCAAAGTAGGTGCCATGCAGTTCCTTTTTTTTTAAAAAAAGAAATTTTAAATGTTATTTAAAAATAAATGTTATTCATTTTTAAGACAAAGACACACAGCATGAGGGAGGGAATGCAGTTCCTTCTTAATAATGCTTAAAGTAAAACTTAAAGAGAAAAAAAGACTAAGGGAAGGACTATTAAATAAAAGGAGGACTTGCCAGGACTTAATGGTTTTGAAAATTCTGAGCCCCTCCAATAGCAAAGCAGCCTACAATTAAGAAGGGCTTGTGAACAAGCAAGTTTTGTAACCTGAGCACTCCTGGGAACACGTGGCCTAAGGACAAAGCCAAGGGTATGACTGTAAAACATCCTATTGAGACCTCAGAAAAATCAAAGTTTGTTGGTTAGAGTACTAGTCAATCATCAAGAGGCCATCCAAAATGTCTTGTAGATCCTCTCAACAACAGGGTCTCTAAGAAGCAAGGGCTCATCAAAATGGCACCTGTAGGTGTGGCTTTTGTCTGAAGGACTGAATCCCAATGAGATTCATAGGAGGCCCACAAAACCTCCGGAGGGCATTATAACAGAAAACAGTACCAGCTTGGACTGAAAGGGACAGAAACAGTGCAAAATGGAGAGACCACTGGACCCTAAAATTGTACTGGCAAGAGAGCAGGCTGAGAAAACTACTCAGCTGCAAACACATTCTAGTTTTTGTGAAGGGAAGATCCAGACAAGACTCCAAAGGGTAGAGCCAAGAGCCATGGAGAATTACTCCCATGCTTTCAGACCTGAGAAAAGAAACCCCTGCAGCCGCTGGATTTGGGACTAGCTACTCACCAGTGACTCCTCTGTGCCTCCTTTGCTCCTCTTTTCACACAGGAAAGTGTACAGTGGTTGCCCCCTCACTGCCTCACCACCGTCTACTGGGTACGTAGAGAGAAAACCTGTCTCTTTGTTGTCACAGGTCCAAAGACTGAGAGGAACTATACTCGAGGAACAATACCTGGGTAGTTTGTCCAAACCAAGACCTAATTCAGAGGACAAAATTCTGGAATTTGAGTCGCTGCTGTAATGGGATGAGACTTTTAGAGACCGTGGGAGCCAATGAATGCATCTTGCACATGGAGGAAAGTGAATTATTGGGGGCCAGAAGATGGACTGTGATGGGTGGGCTTTTTAGGTGGCTCCCAATGGTCTCTGCTTCCCGAGTATTCACACCTCTGTGTAATCCCTTCTCCTTGTGAGGGTGGGCCAGATTTAGTGACTAGAATGCAGTACAGGTGATAGGATGTCAGTTGTGACATTAGGTTACAAAAAGATTATGGCTTCTGCAAAAGGGCATGCACTCTCATTTGCTCGCTCTTGAGGAAAGCCAGCTGCTATGTTCTGAGCTGTCCTAATGGAGAGGCTCACGTGGCAAAGAACCAAGGGAGGTCCTCAGTCAACAGTCCGTGAGGAACTAATGCCCTCTGTTCAGTAACCCACAAGGAACTGAATCCTGCCAATAAGCATATAAGTGAACTTAGACGTGAAGTCTCTCAGTTGAACCTTCAGACGAGACAGTAAACCTGGCTAATACCTCATGAAAGACCTTGAGCCAGAGGACCCAGCAAAGCTGTACCAGATTTCTGACCCACAGAAACTATAATACATGCTTGTTATTTTAAGCCACTAAGTTTTTAGGTTTAATTTAGTTTGATTTATTATAATGGAATAGATAATTAACACACCATGTAACAAAATTAAACCACAATCTTCATACTGGATTCTTTTGCAAGATTGAGTATTCATTTTCTTTACTGCCCAGGAATCTTCCCAAGACTTACAAAATAAGTAGAGAATTCTCATCTAGCTCAGCAGGAGATAAAGGGTTAGTTGGGGAGTATTTTGACTGAATATCAGAAAAGTCTTGCACAACCCCTAAAGATGGAGAGATACTGACACACTTTTCCAAATCACTAAAGATGAGCCAAAGGAAAGTAAACCTGCAAAAATCTAGTGAAGAGCAAATGACAAACACTGATCTCTTTAAAAAACAAAATTATGGAGGTTGCTAAGGACCTGAAGAGAGAGATGAAAAGATTATATGTAGAAAGGGGCCAAAGAACCAACCTTGTAGTTTGCATTTGTAAAGTTTCTTCAACTACAGGTGAGAAATAGGGGTCAGGAATAGTCGTGACCTCACTGATTTTCTCCAAAGGTGGAGTCTGAGGTAAAACATCAGGACGACCGAAGTGGACGCCTGGAAAAAAGAAAAGGGAAGAAAATCAATAAAAAAGACAAAATGGGGTGGGGGAAGTACAGGGGAAAAAAGGCAGCAACTTGGCTTTTCCTGGACAGGAAGGGGGAGTAGAGGTCCTAGGCAGATAAGAGAGGGCTCGGAAGGGGGGGAGGGCATGCCCAATCACATGGGAACCCCAGCCCTGGCGCTGACCTGGCTCCACTTCCGCCTTTGTTGTCACTTGTGCCTTGTGCTCCCCAGAGACCGATGCCTGGTAAGTAATGCAGGAGTTGCCGCTGGGGCCTGCTCGCCGTGAGAAAGATGAGCCAGACCGAAACTTTTTGGAAGGAGAGGGCTTCACTTCAAAAGGGAAAGAGAGAGCCTACTTAGCACCCACCTAAGAAACCATCACCAAGACACAGATACAAATCGCCAGCATCCCCAACACAGACCCAAAGGTGCTCTGCAAAGCGGGAAGAAGGACTAAGGTCAACAAAGACAAGCTCTATGAACTACTCTTCAGAGGAGAGGGTGTGCATCTCAGTTCACTGCGCTTGGAAAGCAGAGAACCTAGAAAAAAGGGGACACGTACACATCTTTCCCCCGCTACACGCAACCTTGACGGCTTTGCTTCCACCTGATGAGACGTCCTCCACTCCGTCACTCCCTTGTTCTTTAATAGTGTCCTCCAGCTCAAGCTGACGAAGATGGCCCTTTCACTCTGCATCCTTGGAGCACTTACGCACACAGCACCGTGATACGTAATTTATAGATCACTTTGAAAAGACTTTGAAAAGATTTTTCCATGTTTCTTAAGACTGTCTGGCATGCCTAAGTCCTCTCTGCCGCACTGAGGGACGACTGAGGCCTACGATGAGGAGACGGGAAGGAGGAGTTGGAAATCTGCCAGGGGCAGTGGCATGGAAGGTTTGGGAAGAATACTGGCACTTCCCAATCATAAAAGTTGAGGGAAGTGAGTAAGAACAACTGCTAAGCAGAAATCAGTAAATGGCTTCTCCAACCCTTTGATCCTAGTCTGAGAATTCCTCGGCGCTGGGGATACGAACAGAAAACAGAACACTTGTGATAATCCTTGTCTAGCTCTGTAAGTCTGGCTCTGTCTCAGCCTGTGGCGTGGACCCTACTCCCACAATGACACCTTTTCCCCACCAATCCCACTTCCCAGAAATGCCCCTCACCTCAATGACACACGAAGGGAGAGCCAGGGGGAAAGCAGCGACTTGGAAACCATGGGGACAGACAGGGTGACTGACATACAGACGGGCAGCGGTTCTCACGGGAGGTGGGTAGAGCAGAAGAGGCTTTGGCAGTTCCCTGACAGAGGTGTCTTGCCCCCCCATCTCCTGGAGTAAGGGAGCCACTGGGGGGTCATCTGGTAGAGGCCACTTACAGGGAATCTTCTTGAACACGGTGTTGCACATAAAGCGCTGGAACCGTTCTGCATAGAAGCCTGGCCGGTGTACCGACACGGTGTCCTGCAGAGCAGAAGAGATGGCTGCGGGGTTAGAGGCAGGGAGGCCCAGCAGGAGGACCGCTATGCAGTCCTGGGGCTGTTTTCCCTTAGGCTGAGACCCAAGCAGAAGGGTAGAACCCACAAAATAAGAAAGAAGAAACTGAGGGGGCAAATCAGAACTGAAGGAGGCAGGAAAGCCTTTAGCAAACTGCTACTCACCCCATCATGTACCAGAGCCTTCCAAGAGTGCTCCAACTTCTTAACAAACCTGCCAGGAAGAACGTGTATCACAAAGTCACACAGTTTTTAAATGTACTTTTCTCTTTGATAAAGCTGAAGAAGCTGGGAAAGCACTCCCTCGGTAAAACTGGCTTTCCAAAGAACAGACAGGGTTGTGCTTGTTCAACACGGAGATCAAAGCCGTTTCCAGGGAAGTCACTTATTACCTCCCCATAGAAAGAGGGTAGTTAACGTGTCCCTGGCAAGTCAGGGACAAGTGCATGTCTTATAAAAGGAGAACTGAGGGAACAGATGGGCATGCTACCAGATGGAAGAGAGGAGTTATATCTGGATGATAACACCCCGAAACGGTAAACCTTCAGCAGCAACTGAAACCTTACGGGGGAAACCTGGGGTCCAGCATTTCCAGCTCCCCCCTCACCACCACTTCACTACCTCGGTCCCACAGGCTAAGCCCCTGCACAGAACACAGTGACCCTCCTGTTTCTCCTCCGAGGAAAGGGGAACATGTTTCCAGCTATGCCCCAATGTGGAATGTGACTCATCGCACAGGGTTTTCACGAAGAGCCAGATAGTGTACTCTACCCTGGCACTTCTGAGGACTGACTCAGCTCTCCACACAGGTGTGTGTTAGGTCTGGGAAAGGGGCAGGGTAATGAAGCCAGGGAGACAGGCGAAATCAAGGAAATAACCCACCATTTAAAACCTAATGAGGTAAGCAGCTAGACTGCAACTGACTGTTCTCGTTCCAGAAAGAACTCAGGGACAAACCCACGTGAAGGAGAAACGTGAGGGGTTACCTGCAAGCTTTCTGCCCCCGAATTTGGGATCCATGTGCTCCTCACCTGTAAGACTGTAGAATGTCAATGATCCCAATATAAAGCAGCAGCCTTTCCCCTTTACTATTGCGGGCAGGGATGCCACCCATACTGTTCGGGAAGACAAGAAGAAAAGAGTTTTAAGAAAAGCTTTGACCTTGCACAAAGGGGCTTCTCTCGCCCTCCAGTCAGATCAGGACGGGGAACTGAGACCTGAACATAACTGTCCCATCCTCCATAAGCTGGGGAGGAGTGAGAGCATTCCTCCAACCCCAAGAACCACTCTGAAGTATGTATTCTAACCTCTCTGCCTCCAAGTCTCACTCGCCTGCCCCTCCAACCCCAATTCCACCAAAGAGAATCTAAAATCACCCCTACACAGCAATGCTGAAAACGTTCTGGTAACTCTGAACTTCCTCAGCACTTTCGTATTTTAATTCACACCCACTAGGACGCAACTCTTGAGAGTCACAGTAAAGGATACCTTAAAAATGAAACTACCTACAAGGCATTTATGGTACTTTGTTAAATACACTTCCTTGATAGACCCAATGTGGTAAGAAGGACACCTTCCGTAAAACTGCTGTAACAAATTACTTCTCGTGAAGTTGTAATAGAATAAGCAGCCATGTCTAAGACTCTGAGTATATTCTTTTTGAAAAGTCTTTTGATTTTGAATAGGTCTCTTTTTAAGATGTACTACAAATCCCCAATTTAAGACCTCTCCCTTTCTTTTTACATTCTTAAGAAAGTTCATCCTATAGTTTTATAAACATTAATATGGTCAACTTAACTCCTGAAACAGGGCTACTCTTAGCCCAGAAGCTGGGTCCCTTCCTCAAGAAAAGCCTGAAACGAGTCTACGCTCTCTGCCCCAGTGCCCTGGGCCCACTCACTGGTCGTCGGTCTCCATGGTGCCACCGCGCCGAGCCTCGCCCTGGATAGACTCCATAGCTGTGGAATAGAGAGCCTTCTGGGGGGCTGGTCTGCGAGTGTCAACCGAGTACTGGGCTTCATTGGCTAAGGGCTCTCGTTGTGCATGATCTATGTTATGGATTGACATCAAGAGGCTATAGTCCATTATCTTGAAGCTCTGTAGCACCTAAGTGGAAGGAAAACAAAAACCAAAATCATGATCTGAGCCGGGAGAGAAGAATTTCTTTTCAGGCTCTCACTGCTTTCATGATTCTTTTTTTTTTTAAGATCCTAAAAAAAATTTTTTTAATGTTATTTTATTTTCCAGAGAGAGACAGAATGTGGGAGGGGCAGAGAGATGAGACACAGAATCCAAAGGAGGCTCCAGGCTCTGAGCTGTCGGTGCAGAGCCCTATTCGGGGCTCAAACCCACGGACTGTGAGACCATGACCTGAGCTGAATTCAGACGCCCAACTGACCAAGCCACTCAGGCGCCCCTAAAGATATATTTTTAAATGTTTATTTATTTAAGAAAGAGAGAGGGAGAGGTGGAGGGGAGAGAGAAGTGAGAGAATCCAGGCAGGCTCCACATCATCAGCATGGAACCTGACCTGGGGCTTGATCCCATTAACCACGAAATCATGACCTGAGCCAAAATCAAGAGTTGGACTCTCAACAGACTGAGTGACCCAGGTGACCTTCAATTATCTTTTTTTTTTTGTTTGTTTAATGTTTATTTACGGAGAGGGGAGTGGCAAAGAGAGGGGGAGAAAGAGAATCTCAGGCAGGCTCTGTGCTGACTCACAAAGCTCGAACTCACAAACCGTGGGATAAGGACCTGAGCCGAAACCAAGAGTCAGATGCTCAACTGACTAAGCCCCCCAGGTATCCCTTGACAATAAAACCTCCAGGGTTAACTTTAGGCTTATCCCTTGCTCCTCCTAGTCCCTGAAGAAGAGCATACTAACCTCCTCTGGTCACCATTTATATCCCCTCAGCTTTCTTCTATTTTACTAAATATGTATTAGGCCACTGCCTGGCCCACAAAACCCTCTTTGTTTGTTCTTTCCTTGTATCTCTTTGTGAAAAAAGCATCATTTTCTCAAGGGAACAGGGAATACATATTTGTGCTGTAAAGAATCCACAAGGAAGGTCTGGTGAAAGTACACTTCGTGATGGAGCAGATCTGTTGCAGGACTTTATATGCCCAGTTTCAATTCAGTTCAGTATTCAGCAAAGCCCTACCATCTGTAGGCACTGTGTCTGCTTATGGGGATACAAAGATACTTAAGAGAGTTTCTGTCCTCAAGGATATTATAATTTAGGAAAGGAAACACTGCAAAAATAAACGTAATACAGTCTAGTATGTGCAACAATGAAAGTGCTTACATGACTAAACAGTGTAGAAATCAGGAAGTGATACATAAGTTTATGAAGAATAAATGAGAAAATAAGTCCTAATAAATAAAGAATATTCCAAGGCCCGGAGATATGAAACGAACAGCATGTTACATCCTGGGAGATGTAATTTGGTACTGTTAAAACAGAAAATGCAAAAAACTGGTGTGGCAGATTACAGAGGTTGACAGGGGAAGAACAGTAACAGGCCTGAAGTGCCATATTAAGGAGCCTCGATTATGCGGCGCCTGGGTGGCTCAGTTGGTTAAGTGTCCAACTTTGGCTCAGGTCATGATCTCATAGTTTGTGGGTTCAGGCCCCATGTCAGGCTCTGTGCTGACAGCTCAGAGCTTGGAGCCTGCTTTGGATTCTGTGGAGAACTTCAAGCAAGCTCCATGCCCAGCATGGAGCCCAACACATGGCTGAGATCATGACCTGAGCTGAAATCAAGAGTTGGCACTGAGCCACCCAGTGGGCCCCTGGAGTGATTCTTTGTAAAGTTTGAAAACAACTCTCTGCTCCACTGTATCTAGTCCTTTCAACCAAAGGACTCAAACTAACATAGGCATCACTCTGTAAATAGACACAGAGTAAGCAAAGGATAAGGATGGACAATGTTACAGAGTAGAGGAAGATAACCCTACAGTAACAGTTAAGGGAAAAAATCAGTAGGAAAAAATGTCACAAAAAGCAAGGGAAAGGTATGTTAAGCAAGTGGAAATAGTCAACTGTCAAGCTGCAGAAAATTCAAGGAAGGACTATGAAGTAGTCTCAGGGCACTTGGGTGGCTCAGTTGGTTAAGTGCCTGACTCTTGATGTTGGCTCAGGTTATGACCTCACAGTTCAGGAGTTCAAGTCCCACTTTGGATAGCGGGGAACCTGCTTGGGATTCTCTCTCCCTCTTCTGCTGATTGTGCATTCTCTCTCAAAATAAATAAATAAACATTAAAAAAAAAAAAAAGGTAGTTGTCTCTATTTGGCATCCCAGGTGGTCACTGGGGAGAGTAGTTCGTGTGAAGAGGAGACAGCAAAAGCCAGGACAGTGGGTTGAGGCAGGAATAGGAGAGGATAAATGAAAAGAAAAAAAGAGAAGAGTAGGGAGAAGGAAGAGGCAGAGAGAGAGACAGACACAGAATTTGAAGCAGGTTCCAAGCTCTGAGCTATCAGCACAGAGCCTGATTCAGGGCTTGAACTCAGGAAACATGAGATTATGACCTAAGGTGAAATCAAGAGTCTGTCACTTAAGTGTCTGAGCCACCCAGGTACCCCATAATTAATACATTTATTTAAAAAAAATTTTTAATGTTTATTTTTCAGAGACAGAGAGTGAGTGGGACAGGGGCAGACAGAGAGGGATGATACAGAATCCAAAGCAGGTTTTGAGCTCTGAGCTCTCAGCACAGAGCCCGATGCAGGGTTCAAACTCACAAACTGTGAGATAATGACTTGAGCCATAGTCAGATGGATGCTTAAATGACTAGAGCCACCTAGGCGCCGCTGTAAAAGTTATTTTAAATGAAACCTGGGACATACAGGGGTGCCTGGGCAGCTAAGTTGCTTAAGCATCCAACTTTGGCTCAGGTCATGATCTCACGGTTTGTGGGTTTGAGCCCCGCATCAGGTTCTGTGCTGGCAGCTCCGAGCCTGGAGGCTGTTTCAGATTCTGTGTCTCCCTCTCTCTCTGCCCCTCCCTGGCTCATACTCTTTCTCTGTCTCAAAAATTAATAAACTATATAAAAAAAATTTTTTTAATGAAACCTGGGACATATAGAGCTAAGGAACTGAGCCCTATCTCCCACAGATTTGATGCCCAAGAATAATAACCTGTTTTAGTGACTGAGATTTTTGGTATCAGAGTGAAGGAAATATACCAAACTCACCAAACAGTCACGCTGTAGGGTCTTACATAGAGCATTGTACATATCAGCATCCAAAAAAAGACCATCTGGAATGTCTTGTAAGAAGTCAAGGTCTTTAAAGGTGGGGAGAGGTTTCTCTCGCTCTTTTTGGGAAGCTCGCCGTTTGTACGTTGAGCCCTTGAGGTCATATTTCATGTGCATCTTCACTGACCGTGGTAAGAGATTGTTCATCACCACAATTCGAATGTTCTTACCACCTGCCTGCACACAGTACAGCCCATAGAATTTAGGCAGCAAAGTGCGAGGGTTCTGGTTGAGGTTCTGTGGATTTAAAAGTAAAAAGAAGTAGGAGAACAAGTCAGCTCATTTTCAGTGAAATTCAAGGGCAAAAAGTTGCCACCCATCTTCCGTTGTCTGGTACATGGGGTTCAGGTACACCTATCTGCCCATAAGGCCACATTGTTATTTGCTTACAATTTTCCAATGTATCTATCTCGGTGATCAGATTACCATCAAGCTGAGCCACAGACCCTCCAATCCAGGCATCAGTCAGAACACTCCATGTATGATAGGTATCTCCTTTCAGAGAGGTTTAAGAGAAACCCATATTGAAAAAGTCTTAATTCTAAGCCCTCCGTATAGCATGTTGTCGTGGGTGTGATGAGAAGCAAAACTAACTCCTTCAGAACTTCAAGGGCAGTCAAGGAGAGTAAGGTGGAATAGAGTACTATCAAGGGAAGTCACCAACCTTATTCCTTGGTGTAGGAGGTGGACTAAGAACAGAAAATAAAATTATCACTGAATATCACCTTTGGGTAGGATGGTCTAAGCCAAGTAACACTAAAAACACGACAGATAAACAAAACCCCTTTTGGCCCCAGAGAAGCAAGAGAGATGGGCCGAAAAGCCCCAAAACGAACTACGTCTTTATGACCAAAGCACAGACATCGTGTTGCCCTGTTGACAAGAACCCCCACCCGCCGGGCCAGGAGTGGGGTGGGCAGCGCCCCTCTTCTCTCACCATGTAGTACCCTGGAAGCAGCTTCTGCAGGAACTCTGCCTCTTTATGCTGGACTGTTTTGATGATGAATTCGTCGTCACTGGACACATAGAAGAGGGAGCCACTAGCCCCAGAGCTGCAGAGTTCAATCAGTGGCTCATTGCAGAGGGAGTACTAGGGCCCAGAAAGAGAAGGGCAAGAAGTTCAGGAACATTAGGGTTTGGCCAACCAGAAATTAAGTACAGATGCAATTCTATTCTAAAGAAAAACTAGAGCAAGTCTATGAAAGGAGGGTCTTCCTTTGGGAGGATCCCTCCGATGGCGGAGTCATAGGGTTCTGAGATCTGGAAGCTTACCAAGTAATCATCGGGCCGGATACCAAATAACTCCCGAAAGTAACGGAAGGCAACAGGTGCATAGGTTTTGAAGCGAAAGTCATTGTAGTGATGAGCAGGGGTCAAGTTGCTCCCTTCACTGTAGGGTTAAATAGAAGAACTTGTAATTTACCAGTCTCTGTCAACCCAGGAGGCCACCCTGGGCAGACACTTCAGAGTCACTCTTATGAGTCAGTACATCCCTTATGAGAGGACCAGAGGGATTAAGAGAGTCAGTTACTTAGTGGGACATTGGCACAACATAGGGATTAAGACATGGGCACAGAGAATCATACTGCCTCTTACCTTGTGCACTAAATTGCTTTAGTGCACATGCTTTAGTGCACAGGCCAGAGGCTCATGAAGTATTCAAAAAACAGCATCTCCTGTCTAAATTCTTCAGTCCCACATCATCCTAAGATCAAGTTAAGGACTGGATGCTGGGCACATGCCTAAATTAGACCTGAACCCCTAAAACTGCCCTGAGGTTGATAAGAAAAAGCTGCACTTCCCAGGAAATTCCCATGAACGTTAACCTCTATACCTGGGAAAGAAGATACTCTCCACCACATAGAAGTCTTGCATGAGGACATCACGCTCTGGTTTGGTACTCAGGCTTCCAACAGTGTGAGTAATGCCTAACTGGATGGCACCTTTCAAGGCAGATGAGGTTGTCTGAGAAACAGAAGAGAAATGAGAGAAAAGTTTCTAGTATTAAATCTGATCAGAATAATAAAACTCCGGAGGAAGAGCCAGAAGCAGCACTCAAAAAGCAAATGCGCTCCTATTACTTCAGACCAAGCTGGGGCAATCCAGTTCCTCCATCCTCTTGCATATGCGGCAATTAAGCCTGGTAAAGCCTGGAAGGGTACAAAGATACATAGTAGCAAAGGCAGACTGTCAGTCAGCCCCAGCTGTCAAGTGTTCCCATCTATCCGTGTCTCCATCTAGGAGACATGCTGTCCTGAGAGAATAATCTTACATCTCACTCCAAAAGTTGCTGCCCCCAGAGTATCTGGGGCTTCTCCAAACATTTTATTCATGGAATATAGAATGTAACTAAAATTAACTGATACTCTGATTGACTCCTTGGCTACAAAAGGCCTGTTAAGCCCTTTTAAGGCAGGGCCTGATTGGTGTTCCAAGGACAACAGAGTGGCACAAAAAGTTTCTAACTGAAAAAAAGTCTAAAGATTCAAATTAGTTCTGAGAGAAGTATTTGAATTTAAAATGCTCACACTACAGTCAAAACACAAATTCAAGAGCAGGTATAATCCTATAGGAAAATATCAGCTCACCTAGATCTGTGCTGTCCAATACACCAGACACGTGTGGCTATTTGTCAATTTAAAATCAAAATAAACTAAAAATTCACCTTTTCCATCTTTCCAGTCACATTCAAGTATGTGGCTACTACTGGGTAACACAGAATATAGCACATTTCAGTCACTGTAGAGTTCTACTGGACAGTTCTGCTCTAAATGATTTCCCTCATCCCCAACCCTCACCGAGTATTAAATTACCAGTACTTCTATTTAGTTCTCATTAGTCATTAAAATTAAAACTAAATAAAATTAAAACTAGAGGATGGCTCACTGGTAGAGTATGTCTCTTGATTTCAGTATCATGAGTTTGAGCCCCACATCACGGATAGATTGCTTTCAAAAAAATTTAAAAAAAATTTTTTTAAGGTTTTATTTATTTCTGAGAGAGAGACAGCATAAGAAGGGGAGGGTCAGAGAGAGAGGGAGATACAGGATCTGAAACAGGCTCCAGGCTCTGAGCTAGCTGTCAGCACAGAGCTCGACACGGGGCTTGAAACCACAAACCGTGAGATCATGACCTTAGCCGAAGTTGGCTGCTTAACCAACTGAGCAACCCAGGCGCCCCTAAAAAAATTTTTATAACTAGATTTTTAAGTGTGTGCCTCTCCAGTTAGACTAGAAACTCATCTTTTTGTTCTCAATGTTCAACACATAGAGCTCAATATGTATCTGCTGAATTGACATGGGCCTTGAGCCCATTCTCAGGGAGGGGCAGGTGGCTGACAGACGTCAGTCCACCTCTATTACTTGGGGCAGTGCAGTAAAGGCAGAGAACACACATAAGAAAAATTTACATGGGCCAGAACAGGACTCCAAGAAATCATCACATCCCATATCAGACAAGTAGAAGATGCTCGATGGAAGGTGAACACTGTCCCTTGGGAAGCTGAGCATCTGCAAAGTAGTCCAGAGCTGAAAGTAAACTCTAAAGTCCAAGTTGTAGGATAGTTCTTGTGCAAAGGCTAGGATGTCAAGAATTGAGACAAGGTGTGGAGAATATCATCAAGGAGACAGAACTATCCCCTCCTGGAGTAGGATGAAAGAGTCCCACCCAGACACACCTTCTTATATGTCGTCTCTCCTGAAGAGTCAACGCCTCGGTGGCCTATTTTCTTCGTGGACATGCCAGAGGAATACGCCACCTGGAAAAAGAGTCAAAATTAGCACGTAATCCCCACATCATACACCATGCAGCTACCATGAAGGTACATTAAAACAAATCGAAACACTCAACCCACACTTTCTGGAAGAACATTTTACAAAATTCACAAGATTCACTCCATGCAAACATTCAGCTCTAGTGTTGCTTCCCAATGAACGAACTGGCTAAAAGAAGACAGAAAATTCCTAGGCACACATATTTCATTTATTTATTTATTTATTTTTTGAGAGAGAGAGAGAGAATGCAAACTGGAATAGATGGAAAAGAGAGGGAGCAGAGAGAGAGAATCAGGCAGGCTCAACGCTCAGTGCAGAGCCCAATCTGAGGCCTGATCCCATGACGCTGGGATCATGACCCGAGCTGAAATCAGAGTTGGACATTCAACTGCCTGAGCCACCCAGGAGCCCCACATACTTCACCTTTGATCATCAGAAACAGGACATTAAAAAAATGATTACCAGGGGCGCCTGGGTGGCTCAGTTGGTTGAGCGTCTGACTTCGGTTCAGGTCATGATCTCACAGTTTGTGGGTTCGAGCCTCGCATCGGGCTCTGTGCTGACAGCTAGCTCGGAGCCTGGAGCCTGCTTCAGATTCTGTGTCTCCCTCTCTCTCTGATCCTCCCCTGCCCATGCTGTGTGTGTATGTCTCTCTCTCAAAAATAAATAAAACATTAAAAAAAAAAAAATGAGTACCAGGGCTCATGGGTGGCTCAGTCGGTTAAGTGTTCGACTCTTGGTTTCTGCTCAGGTCATGATTTCATGGTTTGTGAGTTTCAGTCCCTCATCAGGCTTTGCACTGACTGTGCTGAGCCTGCCTGGGATTCTCTTTCTCCCCCTCTCTTCCTCTGCCTCCCCTGCTGGCACTCACCTATGCTCTCTCAAAAATAAATAAACTTAAAAAAAATTGAGTATCATTAAGAAAAAGCAGATACAAGAGAACTATTGAAATAGCTACTCCAGGAAAAAAAAACCTCAGTTCACAGAAGCAAGATAGGCTAAAAGTAGTTCCACAGATCTTTCTTCACCAACCTCCTTCCAGAAATTACTAACCCTCTAACCTTCAACCCAACCTGAACACTATTTGCTTGAAGTGAATTCACCAGTAAAAATGATCTAGCCACTTGCAAATCCAAGTACTGCTAGCTGAGGAATAAAAAGCTGAGGCAATTAAGAGGACTCCTCTGAGATAGGGGCCTCAGGGCCTTGGAGAGATTCCTGTGAATGAGATATGGCTTTGTTTTCCACCCACATGACAGCCCCTGAGATGAGGAAGGAGTAAACCAGTACAGCAGCCAGCGGAGCCTAGAAGGCAGTTCCCCACACCAAGATGAAGCACAAAGACACAAAGGTATTCTTCATGATGTCAATACTCATTAAGTTAACAAGCCAAAGACAAAAAAACCCTGTGTCAATAGGGTGTGATGATCTTAGGGCCTGATATTCAAGTTCTACCATTCTTGCTAAAGCCCTTAGTGTCAGAAAACTTTTGGTATATAATCTCAAAGATCTTAGAAGAGGGTCTAAAGAGAAAAATCTAAAATCACAGGCTAACAGGGGCCTGCATTCGGAGACCCTGTCATAAAACCCAGGAGAGAGGCAAGAAGTAAGAAGAGGTTTGGGAATAGAAAGGCAATTAACAGCTTCTATACGGTTAAAAGAACTTCTTTTAAATTCACTGAAGCTATGTAACCAGGAGGCAGTAATAGCAAAACCCGAAGTGAGCTTTAGTGATGGACTGTGTGGTTAGTTTTAACCCCAGCCTTATTGATCCCACTTACTGTGTGACCTTGAGCAAGTTATAGAACCTCTAATCCTCACTTTTCTTATCTGTAACACATGGGTAACAATGGTACTTAGTTCACAGGGGTGTTTACAGGACTAAGTAAGAATAAAGGGCACTTAGGTAAATTATTTACTCTTTGGTACACTATATTTGATACATTGAAAAAATGATAGGGGCCCTTGGGTGGCTCAGTCAGTTAAGCCCAGCTCAGATTCTGTGTCTCCTCTCTCTGCCCCTCTCCTGCTTACACTCTCTCTCAAAAGTAAGCATTAAATTTTTTTTTCTAATGATCATGTGAGCTACTATTAATAACTATGATAAACTGCAACAAAAGTTGTTGTATAATTTCCAGCTTACCAAAGTTATGTAAGAATCTAGTCCAGCTTCCAAGATCCAAGTAAGGGAAAAATAAAGATGTCATAAACAGGTATCCTTCTACCCCAGAATTAAAGCTTTAGAAACATAATATCAATATAAAACTCACCTCAGATGCCATGGGTCTCTTGACGCCAGATGCTGTTAAAGAATAAACAAAACACAATTACAAGTGCATACACACACACTAGTACCCACAATCTCTATCACGCACACTGAAACAATCGGGGTTTGAGTCAAACTAAATCTATGAGCTCCTGCCTCTTCCTCTGTGATACTAGATCCTTTTGGGAAGGGGTTTTAAATATCCCTTCATCTTCTTCCTCCACACTCACAGAACCCTTATGCATATTCCTGGCTTATTCTAGTCTCTTTTCTTACTCAAGTGTTGATATTTTTTGTGGACAATATATCTGTTCTTGATACAGTTAACCATAAGAGTCAAGAGGATCTCATTTGATACGCTGGCTGAAAGAGAATGGGTATGAGATATACCTAAGGCTCACCGGGGAGTCTAGGGCTTGATAATTTTTCCTATAGAGCTAAAAGGATTAAGAACTTTTAGAGCCTATCTATGGTGCTTTATTCCTCCATTAGTTATTTCAGGAAAAAAGCTAAAGAGCTGCTCTATGGAGATGAGGCAGCTAAGGATGAGAAAATGCAATGTTAAAATAATGAAGATTCTGCATCCCTACTTCCTCACCTTGAATTCCACTGTAAACTCAACAGGAATTTGTTGGCATTTACTTACCAAATGTTTAATCAATGCAGATGTATAAGACAACTGTGTGGGTCAATCTCATAAATATTATGACTTTTATTCATTTAAGTTTAGAAAAGATTGTAAGAATATATTTAGCTAAAATAACTAAAAGAACCTATCTGTAGGAAACCTACTCTGAAAGGTTAAATCAATTCTCAAGGGTCTGCCATCCCTGTAACTTTCATCCATGATCATACTGGACCATGACCACTCGGAGACAGACCGTCCTCCCCTTCACGTTGGAGAATATTCAGCTTTATCTTCAAAGACTACTGATATATCACTTCAATCTAATTCTAATGAATTCAAAGGGAATAAAGATTAACCATATTAAAGAAAATTAAAAAGAGGAGCCTGATGAAATGATCTTCAATAATGTTAATACCAGAGTAGGAAGACCTCAGTTCCACTGTATGTATAAGGATTAATGGTGAGGCAGCAACAGACACATGGGATTAAGGGCAATAAGGTAATGTCTAATTACGACTGTTTAAGACAAATGATCAAGGGCCCTGAGAATGTCAGAATACAGCTGAGCTCAGAGGCAAGGTTGTAATAATAGCCCTTAGTCGTACAGAGGTCACAGACTAAGTATTTCTGTTACCAATAAGCAGAGCAGTAAAATTTCCTTCCCTATAGTGAGTCAGGGTGGCAAAAAATGGGGAACAGATGGTTTTCACTCCTCTTCCAAAAAAAGGAGGCAATGGAAATGTCATCTAGCTGTTAGGAAGATATGCTGCATATAATGACCCAGAAAACTGGAAAGCCAGCAAAGTCCAATCTACCCTTTATAGATGCTTCATCTTTGATCATTATCTTCACCTGGGTAAAGACTAGGTCAATTAGTAACGGAATCCCAAACCGAAGCTTCCAAGGAATACCAAGCCAGGAGGACTCAGGATTAGGATTAAAACTGCTACTCACCTACAATAAATTTAAGGTGTCCACCACCAACAAAAAAAGCCTAACCTTTTATATCTTACCACCTTTTATCAAGAGTCAACATGCTGAGTTATTTAAAAATCAGAAGACCTGCGTTCAAATCTCTCTTAAATCAGGCAAATTTTTCTCTACACTTAACTAAAAAAAAAACCTATATTAGAAAGCTTATTTAGGGGGGGAGAGGGGATGGGCTTGGAGGAGGACACTTGTGGGGATGAGCACTGTTACGTGGAAACTAATTTGACAATAAACTATTTGTAAAAAGAAAAAAAAAAGAAAGTTTATGTAAAGATTAAAGGAGATAAGCTAAAGCAAGTAGAGTATAAAGTACTATACAAATATGTTCTTACTTTCTTTTTAAAAAATTTTTTTAGTTTTTTATTTATTTTTGAGACAGAGAGAGACAGAGCATGAGTGGGGGAGGGGCAGAGAGCAAGGGAGACACAGAATCTGAAACAGGCTCCAGGCTCTGAGCTGCCAGCACAGAGCCCGATGCAGGGCTCGAACCCAAGAACCATGAGATCATGACCTGAGCTGAAGTCGGACACTTAACCGACTGAGCCACCCAGGCGCCCCACAAATAAGTTCCTTCTGAGTGATTTCTTTTTTGTTGTTGTTTATTTGTATTTGGGTGGGGGGGCATTGAGTGAGGGAGGGAGGAACAGAGAGAGTCAGAGACAGAATCCAAAGCAGGCTCCAGACTTTGAGCTGTCAGCAGTGAACCTGACATAGGGCTCGATCTCATAAGCCATGAGATCATGACCTGAGCCGAAGTTGGACACTTAATCTACTGAGCCACCCAGGCATCCTGACTTTTTTAATGTTTATTTTTGAGAAAGAGAGAGCATGAGCAGGGGAGGAGCAGAGACAAAGGGAGACGGAGGATCCTAAGTGGGCTCTGCACTGACATCAGAGAGCCTGATGCAGGGCTAAAACTCACAAAATGTGAGATCATGACCTGAACTGAAGTCAGACGCTTAACCGCTTAATGGACTGAGCCACCCAAATGTCCTGACGACTCTGTGTGATTTTTATTTTTTTTAATGTTTTTATTTATTTCTGAGAGACAGAGACACAGCATGAGCAAGGAGGGTCAGAGAGAGAGGGAGATACAGAATCTGAAGCAGGCTCCAGGTTCTGAGCTAGCTGTCAGCACAGAGACCGACGTGGGGCTCGAACCCATGAACCGTGAGATCATGACCTGAGCCGAAGTTGGACGCTTAGCCAACTGAGCCACTCAGGTGCCCCGACTCTGTGATTTTTAAAGCAAGAGCAAAGCTGGGCCCATGGCAAGGTTTAATGTTCAATTACCTAGACCTTCATGAAATTTTAATTAGCATCTCAAATTACTTGGCTCCTCCCAAACCCCCCACAGCCACCCCCCCATACCCTCCTGCAAGTGCACACATGCAACTTATGGAATCAGTGATTCTCCATGAGAAAAATCTCATGGGCTTTCAGCTGAGAAGACTAACACTGATTCTGCACTCCCTGGTCAGTGCTTGGCCTCTCCCTTCCTTTTTTACCCCAGAGGAAGAGATTTGGAAGGGATCTGGCAGAACCAAGGAAGGCCAACATTCAGCCCTAGTCTGACAGTACTACCTAGAAAATTATCTCCTCTGTACAAAAGTAGTCACTGGACAGGGGCGCCTGGGTGGCTTAGTCGGTTAAGCGTCCGACTTTCGCTTGCTTAGGTCATGATCTCGCTTTTCGAGGGTTCGAGCCCCACGTCGAGCTCTGTGCTTACTGCCAGCTCAGAGCCTGGAGCCTGTTTCAGAGTCTGTGTCTCCCTCTCTCTCTGACCCTCCCCTGCTCACGCTGTCTCTCTCTCTCTCCTAGAAATAAATAAAAATTTAAAAAAAAAACAAAAGTAGTCACTGGACAAAGTTAAACAATATAGATAAAAAGGCAGCTTAAGTGATTTCAAGGCACAGAGTTAGGTACAGGGCTTTTTTACTCCCTGAAAAGTTCTACTTTGCTACCTTTCCTAGTTTTATCCCCCCAAATTTTATCTCTAGGGCTGCTACACTCTTGCAAAGTACCCAGAACCAGGGTGGGAGGAGTTCACTCACCAGAATTTTGGTGCCAAGTGCTTAGCTATCAGCAAGTGCAAAACTGGGATTAATCCCAAGAACACTATAGCAGTTAGAACGATATTGGGATCTAAATAATAACAATCAGACTAAGTAATATTCTCTCCAAGGAGGAGAACATGGACCTAAAATTTACTCTATTCCTTGCTTGAAGTTCTGCCCCTGGGCTGCACACTGGAGCTTGAATCTAACAAAAAACAATGAGGGGCACTTGGGTGGCTCAGTCAGTTGAGCGTCCGACTCCAGCTCAGGTCATGATCTCACGGTTTGTGAGTTGGAGCCCCGCGTCGGGCTCTGTGCTGACAGCTCAGAGCCAGGGACCTGCTTCAGATTCTGTGTCTCTCTCTCTCTCTGCCCCTCCCCTGCTGGTGCTCTCACTCTCTCAAGAATAAAGAAGAACATTAAAAAAAATTTTTTTAAACAAAACAAGTTGAAAACTCAGCTCCTTCAGCCATAGACGAAGCTACTGGCCCATTATCAAGCTAACAAATCAATAACCATTTCTATTATGAAAAAAGCCACTCCAAAAGGGCCTTTGAGAATTTTAGTCTAATCCTCTTTTTTTAAGTAAGAGCAAAAGCATTAAGGGGTGTGCTCAAAAATCAGGACAAAGGTAGTGACAGAGCCAGAACAGGAATTCACATTCCTAATCTCCAATTCAACTCTCTTCCTTCTAAACCATCTTTTGTTTCAATTTCATGGCCACCTAGTGTCTAGAGAGCCCAAGCAAGCACTAAGGGAACTAGAATACTCTAACAAACTAAACAAATCTCAAAACTGCTAAGAGACAATAGGAACACATATTTTCTTTCCCTGAGGTACCCCCTTCCCTTGAGACAAGGAAATCTTTTTTTCATTCTCACTGATAGGGTCCTCCTCCTTTAGTTCCTCTCAATCTTAAATTAACGACAACTCTGTCCTTCTGGTAATAGTCATCAATGTTACTGGCAAAAAGAGCTTTTGCTTCTTTTAGTGAAGTTATCCTTGTTCTGGACTAAATAATGCCTGTATTCTAGAGCAGCAGAAACTTCTTTCAAGTCTGATATTTGAAAGAGCAGTTTCACAGTTTTACAGATGTTAAGGTCCTCACTAGTAGCAGAAAAGTACCTTTTTGTCCTTGTAATAGAATGTCAATAACTTTAACAGACAAAAAAAGAACTCCATCTCAGATTAGAGTTTTCTTTTTGGTACGTGTGGGACCATGACTGGCTCTGATTAAGCATAAGGCTTTTATTATTATTGAATTTGCAGTGGATAAAAAGAAGGCATCTGACAGTCAAACTGTGTGTGTTTTGTTTTGGGGATCTTGGGACTGACTGCAGAATCAGTACCAATCCTTGGCA